ATCTTAGCTGCAGAGGGCAGTGTCACTGGCCCTCATATGTGGGATCCGAACTGGGGCCCTCTGGCGTCCCAAGCCAGCTCTTAACCAATGCGCCACTTGGCTGGCCCAGCCATGACAATCTTGACAAATGAGAACAAAGTGGGAGGTAACATGCTATCTGACATCAAATCGTACTACAAGAATATAGTAATCAAAACAGCATGGTATTGACATAAAAACAGACACATAGATCAATGGAACAGAATAGAGAGGCCAGAAATAATTCCATACCTATATGATCATTTAATCTAAGACAATGGAAGTAAGAATTTACACTGGAGTAAATACAGTCTATTTCATTGATTATTAACAGTCTTTGTATATCCTGGATATGAGTACTTTGTCAGATATACATATTATAAGTATTTTTCCCACTCTGGCTTGTCTTTCTTACTTTCTAAATATGTCTTTGATGAACAGAAACTTTTGATTTAGCATAGTGTAATGCAATGCAGTGCTGGTGCTTTTTTGGTTCTCTTTAAGAAATATTTGTCTACTTAATGTCATGAAGATATTATCCCGTGGTTCCTTCTAAAAGCTGCATATTTTACCTTTCACATTTGGAGCTAAAATCCAACTAGAATGGATTTTTGTATTTCTGTGAGGTAGAGGGTCAAGATTTATTTTTCTCCCATTAAGGATATTTAGCTGATCCAGCAACGTTTATTGACAGAATCGTTACTTCCCCCACTGCACTACAAAGGCATCCTTTGCCATAAATCTTGTGACTATATAAATTTGGATTTTTTCTGGACTCTCTGTTCTATTAGTCTATTTATCTACCACTGCATTGACACCACACTGTCTTCATTACTAAAGCTTTGTTATAAATCTTGATATCTGGAAATCTAAGTCCTTCGGCTTTGTTTTTGTTCCTTGGGATTGCTTTGGCTATTCTTAGCTCTTTGCATTTCCATATAAATATTAGAATCAGCTTGTTGATTTCCACAAACAAGACAGAACCTGCTAGGGTTTTTATTAGGATCGATTGAATATATAGATCAATTTGATTAGAATTGACATCTTTACAATATTGATCTTTCCAATCCACATACATGGTATATGTCCCCTCTCCCCTTTTAATTATCTCTGTGTTAGGGTTCTCCAGAGAAACAGGATGAACAGGACATACAGAAATATATGAGGAGATTTATTATAGGATTTGGCTCACAGGCTTATCGAGGCTGAGATATGCCACAACATGCCATCAACAAGCTGGTGAGCCAGAAAAGTCAGTGGTATAATTTAGTCTGAGTGTGAGGGCTTGCAAATGGGGAGACTGCTGGTGTAAGTCCCAGAGTCTGACATGCTCCCCCGACCCCACCTGGAACCAGGAGCTCTGATGTCTGAGGGCAGGAGAAGATGGATGTCCCAGCTCAAGAAGAGGGGTCCTCTGGCGTCCCAAGCCAGCTCTTAAGCAACGCGCCACTCGGCCGGCCCTAAATCTCCTTTTCTAATTGACCAAGCATCCATGATGATAATCTCCTCTTTGAAAGTGTCATCATCATTTCAACATATTTCACTACCATTTAACATCTTAAGGTGTTGATAATGGTGGTGATGTATTGGGGGTTAAGTTTAGATACATTTTATTTTTTATATATTCTTTAGTGTATTTTCAAAGTTTGATGCACTGAGCATTATCTACTATAATAAAAATATTACATTAAAAATGAGTGTAGCTATAACTCTGTCATAAACTCCACAACAGGTCATTATTTTACTTTAAATAGTCAATTATCTTAAAAGAAGTTAAAAAGTGAGAAATTTATCTTTTCTATTTACTCTTTGGTATTTTTTTAAAAAGAGAATGATTTTTTATACTTACCTGTAAGTTTGTGAAATTATTCATGGCATGATATAAAGTAAGTCATAGAAAAATTGTTTATTTTAACAGGATCACTGTTTCAGGAGCTGCAGTGGTCATTCATATGTAAGAAAGAATTGGCTTGGATCCATTGTCTTCCCTTTCTCTGCTTTTCTGCGACAGTCTGAGGTAATAGAAAATGATACTTTGCTGATTATTCTAGGTTTTTACCTCTAGCTAATAGAAACATTTACTGATGTCTTTGAATCAGAATCTGTGATTGGCAAATGGTTAGGTCAGTTAAAGTGATCTTGTATTTGAGAGCCATTGGGGTGTTGGAATGTTTGAAAGTATTAGCTGTCTCTAGAACAAAAGTCACCCACAAATTTTTCTTAAAACTTTTAAAGTGTTTAATGGTAAAGAACAGGAGAGCTAGCCTTAGGTCTATAAATATAATGTTTATATTTGCATATAATAGTTTTATAGGACAAGATTCACAAATGTTCCGAATAATGATGTTGCTTTATAAGCATGAGTTCCAGGAACTTCAGCATCTCAATGTTGTTTATTGTTAATGGTGAGACTGATGATTAGTACCTGACTCTGTTGTACTCCCAGAGGGCTCTGCTGTTGGTTTATGTAGCAAGAATATGCCTACTTGAGCAACAAAATATAAAAACTCCAGCCTAGGCTCCATTTGGGGCTCTGTTACTTACTTACAGGGCTATGCCAAATAAAGAAGATTCAGAAATGAATTTTCTATTGCAATAGAGTTCACTGTCTATAGGAGAAAACTCACATTTCAGTACAGCCTCATAATGTTGTAGTGCTTTGATAGGGTTGTGAGATAGGTACAATGATACAGTTGGAAGTACCTTACTCTTCCTGGTTTGGAGGGGAAACGGGGGTTGTTCAGAGGGGTTGGGGATGGGTAAGAGGGGAATGAGGAGAATGAAGGATCAGGGAAGTATTTACACAGGAGATAACTTTTAAATCAAGTCCTTAAAGATGAGTTTGTCAAGAAAACGAGGGCATTCGAATCTGAAGAAATTAATGTGTGTATTAGTACCATATTTAGCCATATGCCACAGAAAACCTAACAGTGGCTGATGTGAGGGATCTATTTATCTCACCTAAAAAGATGTCTGGATGCCAGTGCAGCAAGCAGCTCAAGAATGAATATCTTCAAGAAGCTAAGCTACTTTTGTCTTTCTGCTCTACTGTCCCTATCATGTGGCTTTCATCCTCAGGATTGCAAATTGTTCACTGCACCTCCAGCCTCGTATTCATGCTGCAGACATGGTGGAGCATGGAGGGGCAGCGCCTGGGTCAGGAAAAGACACTTCACTAGAAAATCTTGGCAGACTTCTTACATTTTGTTTATGTGACGTGGCTGTCATGTTGCCACCTAAAACTGTTGGTAAGAAAGGAGAAGAGAATGGATATTAGGCAGGAGAGTAGAAATATCTGCATAATATGCAATCACAAGATGTCATGAGGCAGCATTTGTACACATAAGTGCTGCAAATAAAGAGCAATAGAGATTTCAGTTATTGGAGGTACCAGGGCTTCCTACATTTGTAAATCCCTGTAGATGTTTCTCAGTCTCAGGCCAGACTCAAGGATAGAAAGGTAGTTAAGAATGTGAGCCTCAAAGGTGGACAAACCTGGGTTGTTGTAACAAAAGCTCCTTCTTCCTGTGGACCTGTGGGCTGTCCTTCCTGCTGTTACATTTTTTTCTCTTTTTAGACTCAATGCAAAACGTAACATGGCCTCTTAGCGTTTTCTCTGAGCCTGAATTAGATTTTGTTTTTAGAGCATTTATCACTCGGTTACAATAGCTTGTTTCCTCATGTCAACCCTCTCTTACTCCTGCCCTCTTTGCATAGTACATATCAGATAGGGACCCAGGGTGCCGGGTGCCTGTGAACAGATCAGCATGGAGAACCTGATCATCCTTGTCCAAGTACATACTAGTAGGACCAACACGTACCCATGTAAGCCTGTTTCCTCCTGTGGAGAAGCTTGAGCTGGGCTATATTGTATTTGACTGATGTTTATTTTCATCATGCAGAATCGGTTATATTGATATATTCTTTCAGATTAGTGGAACATTTCAAGTAAATATTCCACCAGTTTTGCTGGGGTATACTTGGAGCAAGACTTACATGTCTCCCAAAGAAGATTATAATGGGCAGAATTTAAAAGATTGCACCTTCTTAAATATTTTTGCTACCATTGAACCTCAAATATCATATGTTACCTGTAATCCAGGACTAGACAAGGTAGGTTTTACACTGAATTATTTTTACATATACTACCAAAGATGTGTAAACTATTTTAAAAGCCAGTAATAATAATTTCAAAGCTGGCAAAAGTAAGCATCAGTTCTTGATGTTTTCCTGTGGGAACAGTATGGTACAATGTTGAAATATTTTAAACTTGGTTTTAGTTTTCAGATCAAATTGATGTTTTGGAGAGAGCCCAGATTTTTAAAAAAAATTGTAAGGCAGTATTTCCCAACCGAAGAATCACAACTACTGTGTTTAATGATGAAGGGATACAGATCTTAGTAACAAGATATATAAAGGCATTAAATCCACCTCAACAACTCCTGGATCTATTTCTTCATGATTCTAATGCAACACTTGTAAGTCATCTTTATTTTAGTAGCGTCACTGAGATATAATTTGCATACCATATAAGTCACCTATCTAAAGTGTACAATTCAATGACTTTTAGTATGTTCATAGAATTGTGCAACCATCACCACAGTAAATTTTAGAACATTTTCGTCACTCCAAAATTATATTTAACTTGTTTACTTTTTATTAACTTCACGTATAACTTTCTGACTAAACTTATTTTGCCTTCAAAGACAGTTTCCTGAGAGAAAAGCCATCTATGTTGCAATGAATCCTCCTGAGCCCCAGAAAGAAAATATATTTCTTCCTTTATTTCTCCTCACTTGGACTCGAGAGTCTGTTGCCACACCAGCTCACATGACCATACTGGCTTCACAGCTTTTCTAGCGAACTTTGAAAAATTACACAGAAACGTGCCTTTGACTTCCATGCGAAATAAACATTTACGTTCCTAAAGGAGTTGTGTCCTCCTAAGCATTGCTTCTCCCAGGATTGTTTCTTCTTGTATGTGGAAATGAAGAAACTGTGTTGTATTTTTCTGTGTAAATTGCCGACATAACACTCCCCACCCTATCCCTATGTGGCTTAATGCATATCTGTTTACCAGCTGACAAAAGAGACATATATTCAAAATTTAAGCTCATGTAAAATGAAGCTTTATTCATTATAGACTCAAAAGAGGATATAGCTCTTTCCACTTTGAGGAAGGAAAATATGAAATCAGAAACATAAGTCTTCCCTTTAAAAAAAAAAAGTAAGCCTTGATTAAAGGGCACCTATGAAAACTCACTTATACCTTTTGTTTATTCAGGTTTTAATTGAGTCAGTTGGCTCTCCTCTGAATATTTATATTATTTGTCTATTATAAAGCTCCCTCAGCTGAACTCTTTAAGCTAAAATCCAAGTTTCTAATTTGAATTGCCTTTGCTACACCCTGCTTTTCCATCCTGAGTTTCTTTCTGCCTGTGTTTCCTGAGCACCCAAAGTCCAAGGAGATAATAGTGCTCTTAGATTTATTTCAAAGACAATATTTGTCTTTTTAAAAATATATAAAATTCTGGCTTCTTTGCTTATCAAGAACTGTGAACCATGACAGGGTACAGGTCATATGAGCACATAAATGGTGGCTGTTGTCAATTAATGAAAATGTTAGTGAACTTTCTGTGTTGTCATTGTTTACTTATGTGTATCTCTTTCTCCTTTCCTACTTTAGCCTCAGTCCTTGTCTCTAGCCCTAGAGGGGGAACAATCCACAGTATAATTTCTGTTACTTGAGAAAGCAGGCTACCCGAGTATCTTCCTGCTGTAGCAGCTCATAGCAAGCTTACATTAATACAAAATAATTCTGATAGATTTTGAACCTAAAAGCAAATCAAACTTTTGCTGTTCTTCAGTGTCTCTTTTCAACTTTTAACAGTTATATTTTATAGTATATATGTAAGATATCATGTTTAAATTTTTAATAATTTATTGCAATGAAATGTAATGGCTAACAGGCACACTCTGGAGTCAGGCTAACTTGGGCTGACTGTTAGAGACCCCATATATTGTTAGCTGTGTGACCCTGGGCAAATTATCCTAGCCCTCCAAGCTTGTAAAACAAAAATAATAATAGTATATACTTCATAGGCTTGTAAGATACACAAATGTGATAATAAGGCATATAAAGCACTGTATTTGGTGATGGACATATAGTATTCACTCAATAAACATTAGTTAATATGTTCTAGGAACTCCTTGCTCACTTTGTATCTTTGATTCCTCTTATGCCTGAGACACTGGATGAAAATGATGATTTTGATATATGGATGACATCAGAGGTAACAAATTACATTTTATAATTAAAATTTATACTATTTTTTACTTGCTTTTCTTGTTTTTTATTTTAGCTGAGCCATCCTGCCACCTGTTGGCAGTTCAGCGGCAGCTCAGCTCGGGCCGGGACTTGAACCGCTGTTGCTCAAAACTTGCACTCTTGAGCAAGCTCTTAACCAACTGAGCCACTTGGCCAGCCCATTTGCTTACCTTTTAAAGAAACCTGTTTTATAAATGTGTAGCACTTTGCCTTATGAAATTTGAAAGTATTCGATAATCTATTTACATCATTTTCAGCTCTATTAACAATCCATAGAAATAATTCTGAAAGACCAACAATTTTACTCCACATTATAAGTAGTAGCTCTTGAATATTTTTTTAAATTAAAGTTTATTGGGGTGACAATTGATAGTAAAGCTACATAGATTTCAGTTGTACAGTTCTGTAATACATCATCTATATATCACATTGTGTGTTCACCAGAATATTTTGATTCAACAGGAATTTCAGGAGTACAGTATTATGACAATCTCCAGAAAGAGCTATGGCTTGTCACTATGGAGCTGGTCAGACCCTGAAGTCTAGGGCAAATGCCACCACTTCACAGAAGCTTTTCCCAGTCTCCCCACATCTGAATGAAGAGCTTGTGTAGTAGGCTCTTTTTTAGCACTTGGATTAGAGTTCTCTTTAGGCCGATTGCCAAATAAAATACAGGCCCCATGTACTATTTGTGTGTGTGTGTGTATATATATATATATATATATATATATATATATATTCTAAAATATTATTTGTTTACCTAAAAATCAAATTCAACTGGGCATCCTATGTTTTTCCCCCAATCTGGCAACCCTAATTAGAGCACTTCTTCCATTCCACTTAGTTGCTTATATGTGGACCCGACACCCATACTGTGTGCATATACATCCCAAGTTTAATCTCCTTGAGTTAATAGGCAGACTTGATTCTTATTTATTTTTATATGTACCACTTGTACACTTCTTTAAATCTAGCAAGCATTCTATAAATATTTTTAACTGGAAAATACTAGTATGATGGGAGCCTAAGAGAGGGACACTTGCCATCTAGAACTGATAGTTCTGGCACTTACCTTGAATGTTTTAGAGGCTAGATTTCAGCTGAACTGGATTTAGTGGGTACAGGGCTCATTTCATAGGTCAGCTACCCTGCTTTCTGCTTAGTGAGTACAAGGGAGTCACAAGCATGTGGTTCCAGTGATTCAGTGATTCAAATCTGGTAAAACTGAAAGAGGTGCCATTAGCTCTAGACTCTTCTGGGACTCTGAACTAATCAGAATGTGTTCAGAGGTATTATAATCCTGCAAAAAATTGAAAGACAGCCTCTAAAATAACTAAAAATAACCATGAAAATAACCATTCAAGCAAATACTTCCTTCTCCGTCCTCCCTCCTCCAACTCCAAACACTACCCATAACCAAGAGGTCACTACGGGCATGGGATTCCTCTTGGCTAATGTCTTCCCATTAACATGAACTCTTTAGCCATGGGATGCCCATGAGTATATGACAAATTAGATTGTCACAAGACATGAGTTATTTTCTCCTACCTTACATACAGTCTTCGGAGTCAAATAAACCCAGATTCAAATCTTACTTCAACCACTTAATAACGCTGTGTGACCTAAGATAAATTATTTAGCTTCTTTGGACCTTAATTTCCTCATTTGTGTCATTTGTGTTTTGAAAGGATAATATATACAAGGCATCTGGAACTCAATATATTAATCACCTAATCTCATCCATTACCTTCTCCTCTTATGAAATCCAATCAGGGGAACCTTCTTGGCCTGGCATTAAAGATTACTCATATTCTCTCTTTCACTCTTTTGTTCAAACTTTTCTTTCAGAGGAGCTATCTTACCATCCTCCCTACCCTCCATCCCTCACTATCATGTTCATCCAGTATGTACTGATGTAGCCATATTAGTTGTCAAAACGATGAAATACTTCCATATTGATTGGTAAATAGTCACTTCCAAGACCTTCTGAGCTTCCTCTCCTCTATCTCTCTGGCTACCACAGCCCCTTTTCTGGAACTATAATGAGATGGAAAGCATATGTCCCATCTAAATGTTGCAGCTGCTACTCAGCAATAACAGATTATTGCCATAAAAACATTTGGGCCAGTATATATTGTTAGGTCTTTTGATTTTTCAAAAGAAGCCAGAAACCCAGAGCTTTATATGAGATCTCCCAATTTTTAAAAACATTCTGGGGACCAAACAAAAGACACCTACAGGCTAGAACTAGGTCATAGGCCACCAGTCTGCCCCCTCTGCTGTACTTTTTAGCTCCTGCTAAAGCTGCTTTATTAGGCACCATATATTTGATTACACCCAGTCCAACTGTTCAGTTCTTTGAGTTAAAGAAGTTTCAATCTTTCTTCCTGATTGGGTTACAACTAAGATCTCTTCCTTTCTTTGAGTTGAGAGCACTGTATTAGTACAGGACAGTGTAGCACCATTCACAAAAGGATCCTTTCCTCCAAAAATACTATGTGATTTCCTACCAGATGAGGTTCCTCAAAATACCAATCCATATGTCCGCTGTTTTCCCATGGCAGTTTAATATTTATCCTAAATAAAAATGTCCCATTTGGGGTGGTAAATTATTTGGTCACTCACACAGTATCCCATTAACTGCCCCATTGTTAAATTAAGCTCCTACGTTCCAAGGTAATGTTCTCGCTTTCTAATAATGCTCTAGTGCCTGAGCTTTTGGCTTTGCAGCCATCCTAGCATTAGTTGCATTACTCAGCTTTCTTTCCCTCACCTATTTATTTATTTATTTATTTATTTATTTATTTATTTATTTATTTATGTTCTTGTTGCTTTTGTTTTGCCTTAGCACTGCATCAGCTTGGCTCTTGGAAGTAAAGAGGAGCATGCCATACTTCTCTGTAATTTCTTTCTGTATTTCGGAAAGAAAGCTTTGGTCCTCCTGGGAACCTCAGCGTTAGAAGTAAGTGCTGGAGTTAATATTTAAATACTATAAACAAACTAATCAGCTATCAACTGCAAGGTTTTTTTGTTTTGTTTTGTTTTGTTTTGTTTTTAGCTGAGCCATCCTGCCACCTGTTGGCAGCTCAGTGACTGCTCAGCTCGGGCAGGGACTCAAACCACTGTTGCTCAGAGCTCAAACTCTTGAGCGAGCTCTTAACCAACTGAGCCACTCGGCTGGCCCTCAGCTGCAAGTTTAAAAGACTTCAACCCCAAGCTTCCATCTTTTCACAAGCTAATTAGCGAATTCCATAGGCAAGCAATTATTAAGAGGATAATGTTGGTTCATTAAAATTTCTACCATGTAGAGTGACTTCCTTTTGTTTTTCTTCTTTGTAAAATGGTGCTAATAATAGTGCTACATCATGGGGTTACTAGAAATATTAAATTACATAATAAATATATGGCACTGAGAAGAGTACCTGGTTCATAGTAAATGCTCAATAAATGATGGTAGTGGTGGTGATCATGCAGCACTAGTTTAGTGGTAGTTGTAGTGGTTGTTAACCCCATCATTATCATAATCTTTATATGTTTCTAATACTTTATTTTAAGATTCTTAAAAAACCCTTCTCCCTATTCTCCATTGTTCAGTTTTTAATTGTACAAAAAGTGGACCAGAAACTCATGTTTACCTACCTGAAATTTTTACAACTTAGTTATATACTCCTGTATTCATACCTCTAGAAAGCTGCCTTCTTTTGGACTGTTTCTATTTCAACCTGAATATCTTGATCAGTGTCAAAATTTCAAGTATTGTTTTGTGATGATCACTTATTTCTCTATATTCCCTTGGCATAGCCTGTTATTTCTCTGTCACAGATGTGTTAGCTAAAAGCCTGTGGTTGTTTTCCAGTCAAGATGGTGGAGTACGTAAACGACGTGCTTGCCTCCTCTCACGATCACATCAAAATTAAAACTAAACTACAGAACAACCATCATTGATAACCTCCTGAACTCTGGCTGAACTGAAGTCCTACAACTAAGAATATACAAAAGAAGCCACCTCGAGATTGGTAGGAGAGGTAGAGATGCAGAAGGGGCTGGACCCACACCTGCGTGTGACTTTTAAAAATCAGGAGGGGTATCTCAACTGTAGAGATTACCCTGGAGGAATGGAGGGTCCCTGCCCCACACAAGTCTCCCCAGCCCAGGGTTCCAGTGCTGGGGAGAAGTCCCTATAGCTTCTGGCTGTGAAAACCAGTAAAGATTGTGGCTGAGATGAGGGTGGTTGCTCTGCCAGGAGTTTCTCTTAAAGGCCTGCACATGGATTTGTTCACTTATGGATTCACTCACTCTGAGCTTCAACTGCCAGGGCAGCAGCTGAGAAGGCACCAGGGATATAGGGGGATGAATGAATTTCTCTGGCTTCAGGGTGAGGGCCAGAGGGACAGCTTTCTTTCAGACAGAAGTGCTGGCAGAATCCATTGTTTCTATATTGAGCCCTTCACCATCCTAGTGTGCAGATGTGGGCGCCGCCATAGCTGAGTCCCCATCAACCTGACTATCACCGTTTGTTCACCCTGCCCTGGTGATCTCCTGAGACCCTGTCCCACCCAACTTTCAGGCACACCCAAGCCACTTACAGTAGCTTTTCCATAAAAACAGCTGCCTTGGTTCCTTCTGCAGATTTTTCTAAAATCTCTCAAAGGATCACAAAGCCCAAACAAGCAGCATCTGGCTTTGGCATGTCCCATAACTCTTGCTGAGCAGCTCTAAGCCCAGCTTTAGTGGCATCCAGCCTCAGTGTGTGGCTTGGCCTCTTGAGGCACCTCCAAGCCCAGCATCAGTGGTGGCTATCTGCACATTGTTTTGTGGCTCATCCCAAGTGACTCTGGGCAGGGTACAAGCCACAGCTGAACTTGGCCTGTGGTGGGGCCCCTCCCAGGAGTCTGTGGGGCTGGCACACCTGGTGGACATCTTCAGATAGAGCTGGAGCATCACCCAGCCACCAAGGATGACAACCCAAAGGGCAGAGTGGGCAGGCACCAGAACTCTGCTAAAGTGAATCCTGCTCCATAGGGTCAGCCCCTGCTTAGGAGCTCCTCCACTGTAGTCACAGCCAGGCCTCACAACCAGTCAGCCCAAGGGGTTGATCCCTCCCATTGACATGCAAATAGCAACCAAGGCTCAACTACAACAAGTGGGCACACACAACCCACACAAGGGACACACTTGGAGCTCCCAGTTCAGGTGACCAGAGAGACTGTGACACTGGGCCCCACAGGACACCTATTACATAAGACCACTCTACTAAGATTGGGAGACATAGCAGCCTTACCTAATACAAAGAAACAAACACAGGGCAGCAGCCAAAATGGGGAGGCAAACATGTCCCAAATGAAAGAACAGAACAAAGCTACAGAAAAAGAACTAAACAAAATGGAGACAAGCAATCTACCAGACTCAGAGTTCAAAACACTGGTTATAAGGATGTGCAGTGATCTCAGGGAAAACTTCAACAAAGAGATAGGAAACATAAAAATGGAGATAGATAGAAAACATAAACAAGAACCAGTAAGAAATAAATAATACAATAACTGAAATGAAGAATACATTAGAGGGAATCAACAACAATTTAGAATTTAAGGTAGCAGAAAACACCCAATCAGAATAGTGAAAAGAAAAAAGATTTTTTAAAAAATGAGGGGTCTCTGGGACAACATCAAGTGTATCAATATTTGCGTCTTAGGGGTACCAGAAGAAGAAGGGAGACAGCAAGGAATTAAAAACCTATTTGAAGAAATAATGACAGAAACTTCCCTAACTTGGTGAAGGAAAAGATATATAAGCCCAGAAAACGCAGAGTCCCAAACAAGATGAACCCAAACAGGCCCACACCAAGACACATCATAATTAAAATGCTAAAGGTTAAAGACAAAGAGAGAATTCTAAAAGCAACAAGATAAGAGCAGTTACCTACAAGGGAGCTCCCATAAGACTGTCAGCTGATTTCTCAACAGAAACTTTGCACACCAAAAGGGATTGGCACAAAATACTCAGTGACAAAAAGCAAGGACCTACAACCAAGATTACTCTACCCAGCAAAGCTATCATTTAAAATAAAGGACAGATAAAGAGCTTCCCAGACAAGAAAAAGCTAAAGGAGTTCATCACTACCAAACTAGTATTACAATGAATATTAGAGAGACTTCTTTAAGAAAAATAAATAAATAATATAAATAATAAAATGGCAATAACTATATTTCTGTCAACAATTACTTTCAATGTAAATGGATTAAATGTTCCAATCAAAAGATAAGGTGGCTGAATGTATAAGTAAACAAGACCTTTACATATGCTGCCTACAAGAGACATCAATCAAAAGACACACACAGACTGCAAGTAAAGGGATGGAAAAGCTATGTCATGAAAATAGAAACAAACAAACAAACAAACAAAAGCTAGGATAGCAATACTTATACTAGACAAAATAGACTTTAATACAAAGGGTATAACAAGACAAAGAATGCCCCAGTGATCTCACTTCCAGGTGTTGATCCAAAGAAACCCAAAATGCTACTTCAAGGGGACGTGTGCATCCATATGTTTATTTCACATTTTTTTACATTGGCCAAGATGTGGAGGTAGCCTGGGTGTCCATCAATGAATTAATGGATAAAGAAGAGGTGGCATATATATACAATGGAATGTTGTTCGGCTTTGGAAGGGAATGGGTTCTCGCCATCTGCGGTGGCATGGGTGGTCCTGGAGGGTATTTTGCTGAGTGGAATATGTCAGACAGAGGAAGACAGATGCAATGTGATTTTACTTATATGTGGAATCTAAAGAACAAAATAAACAAAACAGAGACAAACTGATAGATACAGAGAACATTTTGACGGTTGCCAGATGAGAGGGAGGAGAGTTGGGGGCGGGGGAGTGAAAAAGGGCAAGGAATTAAGAAGTACACATTTGTTGTTACAAACTAGTCATGGGGATATAGGTTATAGCATAAGGAATATAATCAATAATATTGTAATAACTCTGTATGGTGTTAGATGGGTACTAGATTTATCAGGATGATAGATGGGAGGGCGTTGGGGGGCAGGGTGAAAAAGGTGAAGGCATTACGAAGTACAAATTGGTAGTTACAACATATCATGGGGATGTAAAGCAAAGCATAGGTAATATAGTCAATAATATGATGATACCTATGTATAGTGCCAGGTAGGTACTAGTCAGGGGGATCACTTCTTAAATTACATAAATATCTAGCCACTATGCTGTACACCTGAAATGATAGAAAATAATATTTGAATGTCAACAATAATTGAAAGTTTTTTAAAGGGAGGAAAAAAGGTAAAGGGAATAAGAGGTTCAAATTTCCAGGTATAAAATAAGTCATGGGGATGGAATGTACAGCATAGGAAATGTAGTTAATAACATTGTGATAGCGTGGTGCAGTGTCAGATGGTCGCTGGACTTATCATGGTGATCACTTCTTTAGGTATATAAATGTTGAATAACTATGATGTACAGCCGAAACTAATATAATATTGTATGTTAGCTATATATTTTTTAAAAGCCTATGGTTAATTCCCCCACATGATTCCCTGCTGTAGTTTTAAGTGCCACTAGATGGCAGTAAACAGTCAACAGTATTTCAACAAACGTTTGCATTTGTATCTGTGAGTCAAAGCCAAGGGCGGCTACACTCAGGTGTTTGACTTCAGCTCTGTAGTTGAGGTGATGCCTCCTCTTTACTGTAAAGAAGATGAGCACAATGATGAAGAGCAAGAGCTTTGGCGTTAGGGAGCTCAGGCTACACAGCACAGTGTTAAAGAGTATGGGTTTGGGGGTCCATCAAAGAGGGTTTTAAAACCCAGCAATACCATTTTCTAACTGCACGATCTGATCCATTTTTACTTCTCTGAGCTTCAGTTACCTCCTCCTGAAACAGGAATAATGCCATTTACTGTTACCCTAGATAAGCCTCTTAACCTCTGAATCTTCACCTGAAAGATGGGCATTAATAATTATCCCTACTTGACAATTTGGAGTAAATCAAAGTGAGAAAATTAGTGTGAATGCTGAGTACAGTACCTGGTGTACATAAATACTCAATAAAATGTTAAATAGTCATTATTATTATTAACTGAAATTTTTAATCTTTGCTAAGAAAGGTTTGGACTCCAAAAGATATGTGCAGAGAAAATCATAACAACATAATGACGACTTTTATTCCTCAAACGGTTTTCTGTATACTTTCTCTCTAGCTTCTAATTCCCAATCTTGTTCTCAAAATTATTTTAATGGCTTTTTAACTTCACTTGGCTTTTTCAGAGCCTTAGGCAAGTTTCTTTTTTTCTTTTTTTCTTTTTAAAGATTTTTTTATTGGAGAATTGGGGGATGGGAACAGTGCTGGGGAATTGGGGGAAGGG